CAGGTTTCCAAGCTCAAACATTGATAAATGAAGACCCTTTTGTGAAAGCACAGAATAAATCATATGTTCCTGGATGCTCGTCTTTATTACCCCAGTATGCGTTAGTACCATCTTTTCATCCCCTTTAAGCCATGAATATGTCTTATATTAGACTGAGGATATATCAAATTGAATATGGTTCAGTCCTTGAGCTTTGCGCTTGTTTAAGTAATGTCTGTTGCATAGTGTGTCTGCAATGTCCGTAGCTTGGCATTCCGGCAGACCCTTTAACTTGACATTGCATACATTGCTATGTGACAGTGTCTGCAATGTTGTAGGCATACAACATCCCGACATCCGTCATAACCTCAACTCGACAATCCAGTCCAAATCGTGATCGGTCAAAGGAGTAATATCCTCCGAGCAGAGAGCGCCCTCCATGGGACATTGAGCAAATAACAAGCCACAGAAGAGAAGGCGGAGCAGCCTTCCAAATATGTAATCTGAAAGTAAACTTGATCCATTGAGCAGAGAATGGGATGTTTCGAAGTTGATCAGCGTCGTCCTTTCGCTAGGCCCCGAACATGAGGGATGGGAGTGCTGATCCCATTGAAGGAACTTAGACACAGATAAATTTCCTTCAATGAAATAGACTTGTTCATGAGGAGACAAGATGTAGTGTTTTCAATGCTCAACAGTCCACAGTAAACCCTTTGAAGATATAGTCAGGTCTCTTCTATCAAGCAAGTCCATCTCAAGCATGTCCTTACTAAAACCATCCTTAAACCCTAACACAAACGAAATAACAAAATATCATCCTCCAATTTTTTTTTTATTTCGTGCTAACTTCTAGAACAAAGCACGTGAACTAATCTAATTGGACTAGAGACTAGAGAATTATTGAAACGAAATATAAAAAATTTAATTCTTTTTATTAAAATCACATTTTCGAATATGTCAATCTATAAAGATATGACAGGAAAATAAGATTGCCGGTTAAGTGCTTCACTTCGCGTTGCGGCGGGTCAAGTACCGCGGGCGTGCGGGTTTTTTTTTATAAATTTGGAAATGAATTGAAGGAAAATCGGAAAATAAAGAATATGGTTAATACTACAAAAAAAAACCTCAAACTGGTATATTTGTGATAAATTTAGTCCAAATTAATTTTTTAACCCAAACCGGTACACCTGTGATAAATTTACTCTCCACCAATTGAGAAAATATTGGGTAGAACTATAATTTCACGCTGGCAAAATCCGAGTCACCCATCATGCCAAATTTACCTCCACCAGTTGAGAAAATATTGAGTAGAACTGTAATTCCACAATGGCAAAATCCAAGTCACCCATCGTACGACACGTGTCGCTCGGGCCCACCAGTGTAAGATAGCCAAATTTCGAAGGTTGAAGCAGGATACTCTCTCTCTTCACTCTTCCTTTCACACTTTGCTCTCTCTCTCCCTCCCGACTCGCGTGACCCTTCCAACTCACGACCAAGCTCTCCTCCGACGAACGCCGCCGCCGCCGCCGCCGCCTCGTCCGTTGCCTTTGCCGTCCGACGAACCACACCCAGCCATGCCGTCTCTCTCGACTCGCTCTGTTCTCTCCATCTCTCTTGTCTTGCTCTGTTTTCGCCGTCTCCGCCATCCGACGAGCCACGACCGGCTCTATACTACGCCACCGCCTCCGCCTCCCCCTCGAAAGGTAAACATTTCCTTATATTTACTCCAAAATATGTGTACTTTTTGCATTTGGGGATATATATTTTGAAGGGTTCTCGCCGTCTCTGCTATTCGACGAACCTCGCTGGCATAGCTCTACCCAATAATTTATCCTCTCTTTATGTGCAGAGAATCGCCAAAGCTCTGATTTTTTTGGTTGAAGTGATCGAGTAGAAGCTCCATTGGTGCGTTGGAAAGACTCCATTGTCTTCTGTCGAGCAACTGGAAGGATCAAGGCGACGTCGGGTTTGGACGTGGCCTCGCCTTCCAAACCGAAGCGCGCCGTGGATGCGCGGCCGCCCGTCGACTCCAATCCCTTGTCTCTCCCTCAATTAAACAAGTCATATAAGCCTCCTTATATATTAAGACCAATTAAAAAAAGTAAATCTATAAAAGAATTGAATCATGATAGTATCTTCTAATATTTTTTGGTGGTATCTATCACCATCAAGCAATGGATGGTAATGAGTACATAGCACGAAGTGATAGGGATGGTAAAGAAGTAAATTTTATAAAATCCGGGATAGCTTCAAATATATATATATATAACACACTCTAGGAAACGAGTACATAGCATGAGGTGAAAGGGATGACAAAGAGGTAAATTTTATAAAATCCGGGATAACTCCAAGTATATAAAATAAAAAAAATACACTAAGAAACGAGTACATAGCATGAGGTGAAAGGGATGGCAAACAAATAAGTTTTATAAAATTTGGGAAACTCCAACTATACAAAATAAAAAAAATACACTGAGAAAGTATAAAAAAATTTGGGACCATTCCTCGATTTGTGCCGGTTCTCCCTCCAAGTCTTCTCCGACTACCTCATCTCTGAGTTCAGAACTATCCTCCCGGTAAAATTCACTAGTCAATTAATTATTTATGTCTTCATACTCTTCGATGATTTAATAATCACCCCTTGGTTAAATTTCTTGGCCGAGTCATTGTAGAAGATGACAAATTTGTGCTTAACGTGACACTAACATTTGCAGGGGCACCCGCCGAGCGCTGGTTACAGGGACCGAGAGCCGCCGGCTGTGTTCCGACTGAGTTAGCCTCGCAAGGAAGCCGGAACGGCGAGCATGCACCGAAGCCCCAGCGAGCCGCTGCCATATCCACCCAGCTCGTGCTCGTCCAGATGCTCCAGGGACCGAACCGGGAGCTCGGATCCAACCGTCTTTATGGCTAACGCATTCCAGATGAACATGTATCTTTACGGCTCCTTATTCAAGTGTTGCTAATTTTGAGTTTCGAATTAGGTTTTGTCGCATCAACAGCGGCGTACTGCGAAACAAGGGGCTCACAATGGGCTGGGAACATGTCATGTCCGCTTGAACTTGTGTCCCGACCGGACACATCATGACCGGTTCGACCGATTACGCGAACCCCACGAACCGGAGCACCATCATGGCCTTGGACTCACGCCGAGATATGATTAATCGAAGTCTCTCTCACCTAGCAAAATTACTTAGTTCGGAGCAATCGATCCCAAACTCTCCAAGTGTTTCATTCGAGTGTTTGCTCATCATAGATGTTAAGGTTTACATAATTTGTTGTGGTTGCGCTAAATTGTCTCTCTTTCTAGGGAGTCGAGATGATGGGAAAGCAAATTAAAGCCTGCAAGCTTGCTCCATTGTTTATTACAGTATGTTCATACTTGGAAGTTGAATTTGCAGAAGGGAAAGCGTACCAGCTCACGAAAGTGGGGATCCCCAAACTTTTCCGATCCGCACAATCGTCGTTTCTGGACTTCCATTTGTGCATTTGGTAAGAGTGTCAGTACTTCCGTGAGATGCTTCGGAAGGAAATGCCGATATGGTGACTAAGGATCTGATTGGTAGCCATCCTATTTTATTTTTATTTTTATGTTATTTTGTTCTTTGAAATAAAAAAAGAAAAGAAATCCGTTTGTTGTCGAAGCACCGTTAGGACCCGAACGACATGTGGCACAACGTGACGACCATTGAATGAGCCGGTGATGTGGTGGGGCCCGCCCATTATGCACAAAGGAGGAAAGAGGGAAATCACAAGAAGGAGACACAACAATTAATAAAAAGAAAGAGGAAACAAAAATTTGAACGAGAGAAAGGTTGGACCTGGCCAACACGTGGCGCCTCGTGTCAGCCATTGAATGAATTGGCCCCACGTACTTAGCCCAAAATTACTTAGTCCACGCCTCTTTTCATCTTACGACAGCCTTGCCATCCGACGCAGCCACACATACTCTCGGCAGTAGCCTCGATCTATCTCGAACCGCCATTCTTCCCTCTCGATCTTGTCCCTCTGCGCTCAACTCGCGTCGCAGCTCCGTGTACCGAGAGCCGTGCGCTCAACCTGCCGGGGGAGGTTTTTCTAAGGTTCTTGAGCCATGTGGAATAGCGCCAGCAATGGCCAGATTGCTCCGCCGGGGACCAGCGGCCCCTCCACGATCCCCCTGCTGCCCGCACCGCAGCCCTCGTACACCGTCATGCCCTCGCCCCTTTTTAGTACTCTGGTGTTGTTTCTTTGGTTTTGATTGGGTATATGATTTTTGGGGGTCTCTGTGAATTATGTTTTCTGAGATGTAGGGGTTGTACCTTTTGTACGTTTGCATAGGGGTTAGGGCAAGGGCTCGTCCTCTCTGCCTTTCTCTGCCGCGTTCATCTCATTATTTGCAATAAAAATAATTATCATTCCAATTATGTTATTTCTATGACGGCCTGTAAGTTTGATATGCTTGGTCTTTTTGGTGCGATGGGGATGATTATTGGAATGGAATGGATGATGTTAATAGATGGTGGATTAATATTTTTAGTGTAAATTCATTCTAGGCTCTTTATTATTATTTATTTATTTGTGGATTTGAATCAAATTAATTTGATTGAAATAATCATAAAAATGATAATTTATCATGTATATATAAAATTATACATTTAATACACAATGTGTCCCAACGTGTCGGAATTCTCTATTTTTTGAAAAATGACCTGTCGTGTCGCGTGTCGGTATCGGCGCTGCATAGGTGTCGGCCATTGTAATGGGATCGGCCCATTACGCACAATGGAGAAAGAAGAAGGTAGGAGACCATAGGAAAAATACGTAGCAATTACTAAAGAGAAAGATGAAGCAAAAGTTTGAACGAGGGAAATGTTGAACCCGGCCGACATGTGGCGCCATGTGTCGGCCATTGAATGGGCCGGCCCCATGGTGATGTGGTGGGGCTTGCCCATTCTGCTACGGCGGGTCATGTGTAGCCAACGGTTGGTTTTAAGGTAATATTTTAGTCTTCCAAAAATAGAAATTTTATACAATTACCACGTTCTTATGCTAAAAAACTCGTCGAAAAAATAGAAATAGAATTTTTTTTCTCGAACGAAATTATTTTCAGAAACATAAATGTTACCAAATGACTCTTAGATGGCCGTTATGTACTTACGATACGCGATATGCGACACGTGTCAAAGGTGGGCCCGCCTGTCATAAACTTTAAAATTCTCTTCCCGTTGCTTCATTACTCTCCGATACTCCACTCTCTCTGCTCTCTCAGTGCCGAGAACGATGCTGGCTCTGCTCTCTCTCTGTCCTCCACGACTCCGCTCCGCTCTCTCCGTTCCTCCGGGCCTTCCCTCTTCCCGACCAAGACAGCTCTCCACTCTGCTCTATCTCATCCGATGAACCTTGCCTCCTCCGTCGCTTGCCGGAGGGGCATCGGTGGCTCCGATTCGCCGTCCAATGAGCTCAAGTTGAACTTTCGTGAGCTTCGCTCCCATTACTACGAAGGGGTCTTTCTCTTCACACCCGACCACGCAGCCATCGCCACCTCTGCCTTCGCCTACGCGGTCGCCTTTGCGGCTCCAATTCGACCTCTGCATCGGACAAGCTCAAGTTAGGGCTTTTCCCCTTCTGGCGATCAGTTGCCACTAGCGCTTCTGATTTATGAGAATTTTGTCTGTTGATTTCTTGTGTTATACGCACCGATGGCGTTTTTCCTTTTTTCGACCAATCGCCTATTTTACGAGTTCGCTCCGAAAATTTTCTTTCAGCAGGCCAAATTGGGAACAGGATGCGTTTGACGTGGACGATGGCTTCGCGAATGGTCCAAAAATGCGCAAGGTTTGTAAGAGTTTTGTTGATCCTTAATTTGAGTTTTGTTGGAGAGCATCCTATTAGACAAGTTATTGTTCGAAAGAAGATATTGATATACGATTTTGTTGTAATAGGATACGTGAAGGTCGTTGTTTGAGCACCATTGAGACCCGACCGACATGTGGCACCACATGGTGATCATTGAATGAGTCGGCCCCACGGTGACGTGGTGGGACCTGTCCATTATGCACAAAGGAGAAAGAAGGAGGGAAATCACAAGAAGGAGATGCAGTAGTTAATAAAGAAAAAGAGGAGACAAAAATTTGAATGAGGGAAAGGTTGGACCTGACCGACATGTGGCACCACATGTCGGCCATTGAATGAACCGGGCCCACGGTTAGGGGTGTCAATGGGTCAGCTCGGGTCAGGTTTTCATAATACCCGACCCGAAATAATGAATATGTGTGCTTGACCCGACCCGAAACAAGACCTGAACATGATATAGCCGCACGATCGGATGGGGTCGGTTCGGGTCGGGTTCGTGTTTTAGATTTTTATTATAAATTAAGGTTAAGTTACACCCACAATTGTTTAGGAGTCCCACATCTCCAAAAACCTCGAAGATTAATTATGCGGCGTACCTCAAGGGTTTTCTATATAAACAGTAATGTTCCCTGTTAAGTAGCATGGATCCATATGACATGCAGACATGCATTTTGACTTTTCTGATAGTTTCACAAATAGTTTGTGAATTTACAAACAAGTCTTAGACTCATCCCAACCATGGGATTAATAGCTGGCCTCTGAATTGTCAAACACAAGAATGCAAAACAACATACACGTTCCTTTCTTTTTCTTCTATGGGTAACAAGAGTTAAGAAGCCCAAAGAGATACTGTCAAGCAATATAGCAAAAAGGGAAAAAGCCGAACAGAGGGGCATCTGACTCCTAAACCCCACATGTAATATCTCGTATCTACATATCAGCGGCAGAGCATGTGACAAACATCAAACAACTAAACCAAAGGCTGAACGAGAAAAATCCAATGACTATACACCATCACACCATTGTAGTTGCAGTACACGACCGCTTGGGCCGGATCACAACCTAGGAATGATCAATCACAAAAGTGTAATGGAAGAATTCCTAATTGCCCCGACCAAAAGCTCCAAAACTTTCGGACAATACAACCAACCACCCCTCGATAAGAATGACACCGAAAGATGGCGTGGGAAAAAAGCAAACAGGGCTACTTGCGAGTTACGACAAAGATTTACGTTGATAAAAACAGAGTACACAAGCGTATATAAACTCCAAACACATATCAATAAAATTGGATAGACGATTAAATCAAACTCATGATAGGAACCTATTGACCTTCAACCCCCAACCCCAGGATAGGAACCTATTGACCTTCGAATTCAGTTCGGTGACCCCATCTCATCCTCTCAACAAGACAAAAGTGGATCATATCTACTCCAAAGCAAACCAAACCAAAGCAACTCCACCAAGGCAACTCCACCAAAGTAGCTCCAATGTTATACAACCTTGTCTACATGCATAGTAGGACCAATTCACAAACTAGGGCAATGATAAAAAAAAGTAAAGCAGGTGATAATAACCCTACATCAGAGATTTGGAAAGAAAGGAAACCATTCTTTAGTAAGGTCAACCTACAAGTAAGAATTGAAGAAGATAGCAATTACTAAATGCGTAATCTGAATATGAAAAAATAAATTTGCAATAAAAAAAATTAGTTTAGCAAGTACCAATTTCCAATTTCGTCAATCATCAAGAGAAACCGATATCGGGTTCGGCTCCATAATTGTAGTTGAACACTCTCCATTAAATTCACAATCAAAATGAGAACTTAAGTATCCATAGTAATATAGAAAAGAATAAATATTCCACAATTATGTTTTCTGACCTGACTCAAAATTTTCTTATTCTTCTAAGTCATCCTCCATTGAAAGTGAAAATGGCGAGGATCGTAGCCCATCTTGAGCATATGAAAGACCCTCCACCATGCTTGGGGTCAAGGAGCTACGAAAGACATCGAGTACATGACCTCTTGTGCTGAATGCGGCCTCTGATGCTACAGTCGAGACGGGCGCGGCTAAAATATCTCGAGCGATCGAAGAGAGGATAGGATATCTTGAAGAATTAACTTTCCACTAAGTTAAGATATCAAAGTCGAGGCTACAACGTTTCCATTCTTCCTCCAAATATTTATCCAATTTTGATTTTTCTTCCAAAATTTGTTGTCCCGTTTGGCCAAATATTTTGCAGTCATAAAGTCCGCACCAACCACGGGAGACTTTGACACATTTACTATCCTTATACCCTTTAATCTCAAGTTGCCTTGGGGGCATTTACCAGTGCGGTATTGCTCCTACAATAATGTTAGTGATGATGTTACTTTATCATGGAAAATTTATGCTTACTTGCTCTCATAAACATCATTAATCAACCATTTCATATATTCCCACTTATGTCGAGAGTCAAGTATGCAAGCAATGAACAAATTAAGATTGATGTTGTTCACATTGCCATAATACTTATTGAATTTGGTCTTCGTTCTTTTAGCCATTTCCTGCAAACCTTTATCCTCATTCTCACAATATTCGTTAATCATCCCAAAAAGCCCATAGACATCCTTTGCCAAATCATTACTAGTGACATAATAAGAACCCGAAACTTTTAAAGTCGTATCAAAGAACAACTTCAGGAAAGAAAGAAGGTGAAGGGCACAGTCCCAATCATCACTAGTAGGCAACCCTTTCGCCTTGGACAGTTCTTCAACAAATTTGCTATCTTGAATTTTCAATAAGAAAAAAGCTTTTTGAAACTTCTAAGCTGCCTCCAATATCATATATGTCGAGTTCCAACGAGTCTCTACATCCAAACATACAAAACTCTTGGACTCAGTATTCTCTAGTTCAACATAATCCTTAAACCGCCTCAACCTCTCAGGAGAAGACCTCACATAACGTACAGCCGAACACATTCTAACAATTGAATCATTTATGTCTTTCAGCAAAACATGGCAACTTTCAAAGTCCCCTAACGGAATCGGATGGGCATTAATAACGAGGGGCCTTCTCTGAACTATTTAAGCTTATGCATATACAGCTGAGACTCTATCTAAAAGTTTAGTACGGGTTCTAGCAACATGTTCTTCAAAAAGTAGAGTCGAACTCGGATTCAAACGCAATGCTCAAGCTCAAATTGAGAGCTCGGGTTTAGAAAAATTTGGGATATGAGACATTGATGTTGAAGTTGGGAATTGAATGCATCATGCCTCAGGGTCTTGATTCTGGGGTTCGTCCTTGCCATTTCAGCACAAATCGAGCTCACTGTGGCTTTCTTTTATAATTCAGGGGAACGAGTGTGGAGATTAATTACCGGAATGCCCATTGAACACTTTGCAAGCTCCATGAGCCGGTTAAGTCCAATTCATACTTTTGGCTAGTGCAGCAGCCCTGGTCCTAACCAATTTACAAACGGTAGGTGGGATTTAAACAAGTGACCTCCAATTCTTAATCTGAAAATTCTCTGACGTCGGATCTAACTGCACCAATGTTCAACTCATTGTAATTTAATAAGTGTTGATATTAAACCCAATAAGATATGTTTGACTATTAAGGTCTCCTCAGCTATCATAATCAAACAATTCCAAGCAATGGCATGTGGTCGATGAAACTTGGGTTTGGGGACGGTGATGTATAATATTTTGTCTAAATTTTCAGAAATGCAAGAAAACCATATATTTAGGGAGGCACCACGGATCCCTAACTTCAGCTGGTGATCTTACACTCAATCAAAGCTTACTAAAATCGAAAACGTATCATACAATTTAAACACTCGTTCAATAGTACACTCATCCACAAAATTAAGAGCAAATCAAGCGAGCTAATCTCAAATAATTTGACCTTAATTAGTGAGCTAATCTCAAATAATTCCACACTAATTTTCAAATACGGTGGAGAAGACAAAAACAAGTTCAAGTCAACTAGAAATCTCTAACCACTGGAGTTTGCCCTAGTAGCCGCTCTAGTAGCCACCCTTCCTACTTGGGAAGGGGGAGATGGGGAGTTCAATTCCTCACCTTCTCAGGGAGGGCTAGGAGTAGGGACGTTTAGTTTCAGAAGTGGGTTTTGATTCTCACGCTTTGCAAAGAGACAGGGCAAAAGCCTGAAAGTGAGTTGAGAGTTAGAGTAGAACAGACAAAAAGAAAACTAGAAATCTCTAAGTATTTAGTAATTTGGATAATCGTAGAGAACATTGTGGAGATATCCATGCTTGAAGGCGTTCACCGGTAGAGTAGGACGACTTTTAGTCCCCAAATTTCAAATAAGTAAATAAATCTACTTATTTATGTACTTATTTAATTCGAGGAAGAAAGAAATGAATAGTCTTCACCGAAATCTCTAACCAAACTCTTTTAGACTTTTATTTAGGTCAAACACACATACACACTATTCACTGGTCATATCACTCTTCTAGAGAAAATTGCTCAAAAAATTCTAAACCTATTGCACTTTTGTCATTTCAATCATAAATATTTTAATTTAATTTGCCAATTGAGTCATAAAAATTTTCACTTTTTACCAATTGAGTCCGTCTAGCCAATTTTAGCTGTCAATTGCTAACATGGACAATTGTCCTACGTGACACAACCGGTGCTAACTTGGACAATTTTTAATCATATTTTAATATTATTTTGAATTTTTTTTTCTTTTTTTCTTTTTCTTTTTCTTTTTCTTTTTCTTTTTCGAAGTCCAACAAGGGTCATCGGGTGACCCTCCCCGATCACAGGCGAGGGTCGGCGAGGGCTTCGTGGCCCTTTCTAGATCTGAGTGACGGCCGTGACCCTCACTCGGGACTAGCGAAGGCCACGTCGTCAAATAACATAAGCCTTTTTTTTTCTCTGTTAATGCATATTGATACCATGAAGGTTGCAGCAGACTACAATAAAGTTGAAGCACGTGTAGGTTCATGTTCACATGTTTTCCAAGTCTTATTCACCACCCTAGGGTTTTGGAAAATAGCTGAGTTAAATAAAGGGATAAGTGCACTAGAAGTCATAAAACTTGTTACAAAAGTGTAATTGCTAAAACTTTCAAAAAGTGCAATCAAGTCCTAAAACTTGTCATGAAAGTGTATTTAAGTCATAAAACTTAAAAAAAATGAAATCGAGTCCTAAAACTTTTAAAAAGTGTAATCACAACCTAAAATTTGTGTCAAGTTTTATGTTTTGATTGTACTTTTTTAAAGTTTTAGGATTTAATTGCACTTTTATGATAAGTTTTAAGAGTTTCAATACACTTATCCCTTTATTTAACTAAGCTATTTTCCAAAACCCTTGGGACGCAGCCAGCTAATCACCCCATGCTCCACTGGGGATGGCCACGAGTACCGTCCTTAAAAAGGCAAGCTAGGGAGCTTGCCCTAGTTCTACTATAAATGTTCGGGAAGAGGAGCAGAGGTGCACTCCTGAGAACAGGCTAGGGACCAAATGGAACCGTCCCAGAGCATGAGCATGCTTCTTTGTCATTTAAATAGCAATAGAAGCATCAGTTACCGTATGCGTTGATGAACTATGATGAACTATATATTGAGACTATCACTTAGCATTAATTCCAACCTCATCTCCATGCAAGACAAATCGAAAGAAGAAGTTTCCATGACAGTCATTGATCATTTGTGTCCCAATTGCTACTGGCTCTTGCCCATATGATGCAGCCCGTATTCGAGACCAGCTCGTTTAGCTAAAAAGATCGGCTCGTATTCAAGATCGACAAACATCAAGAGTTTCATCGATAAGTGAAAAGCCTCATCTTTGACTTTGTCATAAAGACTTTGTCATTTCCCATGCATCGAAGCTTGCATCAAAACTCCTTGAGATGGTCACAAGCATTGGAAATATTGTGCATTTAATAATAGCTTCTAGTT